TAAAGTAAAAGTTTACGGCCGGACGAAAAGGGATCACAAAAGCTTGACCTGTCACTTTGTGACAGGTGAGCTAAAAACTAAGGAATGGAGTTATGGTTCTTTGACACATTGGAAAATTCGAGTCGTTCAAGTTGATGTAGATTCAGTGATAGTTTGGAATAAGCATTTTTAACTTAAGGGATATAATTAAAACATGAAGCAAGGTAGAGTTATGTTTCTTGAACATTGCACTTCCTCTTAAAAAGTCTCTATCACTTTGTGAAGTTTACATAAAATCCCTTCAATACATATCTAGTTATATTCATATTTCGGACAAGAGTGTGAAGGACAAATGTCTTCCTAAGTACAGACTATGTTTTTTTTTCCTTTTATCAACTAAATCTCAAAAACACCATTAAAAACATATTTCCTCCCATGAGCAACCTTTTTCCCAAAAGTACAAGTCTGTATGGAATGAACACAGATATTTATCCAGAATATTACTTGAGTCCATACCGACAGATGGTTAAGACCGCAACTATATTCTCTCCCTTTCAGGAGCATAAATTATAATAACATGCTAAATCTCTGTATAGTTCTATATCAGATACCAGTATGATGAACCTTACTTTTGTACCATTTAAGTTATAGCAAAATTCAGCTTTCATTGACAAACAGAAATGGGTCAGCCTTTAGTCCCCTCTTAATGAAAATAGAAGGGGACTAATAACAACAATTTATTCTCATAGTTTCAATTCTCAGGTTTATTACTTATCATTACACCAGGCAAGCTAAGATACATGTTAAAACCACAGGCACTATATACCACATTTACCCATATACGCTCATAATACTATATATAAAGAATAAAGGTCCCTAACGAGAGAAAAATATCATGCAAAACAAACAAGAACTGTTCGGTAAAATACACCAGATCACTATTTTATCTTTGTGGTTGTCTCTAGGAATAATGTATCCTATCATAAACACTTTTTACTTCATCGAAATCCTACAAAATGCTCCAAAATACGAGCAAGTTTCCAAATTTCACTGAAATGTCATTGCATGTCGTTTTCGACGTCCAAGCGATGCGTGTAAACAAAGGTGAATTCTGGTCAATTTCTACAAAATCAACAAATAACTGTTAAGATTTCGACATACTTTCTTTAAGGCAACTTGTATACAGTCAAACTGCGATGTCTTTACTTCACAACTGTCCGACGATAACACTAACAAGCTAAAAAATTAAAAATAATTGACAGCTCCGTTCCAGAAAGTAACCATTTCCTACATTACCGCACTGAATATCAGGTAAAGTAATGATTGGTTAAGCTGAAAATCAGAGTTTTAACATTTTCCTTCAACACAATGTTCATGACTGGCCTTTACTATTGACAGGGGATTCAATTCAGACTAGCCCTCTAAAATACTCCAACTAGTCCAAAGTGTTAATGGTGCCTATACAGTTATGATCACTACAAAATAGATAAATACAGAATCCCTAAAGAAAGCCCAACACGGCAAAATTGAAAATGTTGCAGGCTCGGTTTGATTGAGCCTGTTCATGAACGGTACTGGAAAGTGCAAGTTACCGTCCACGCCCCCTAGCACCGGCTTAAGCAGAATTCAACATTTAAACATGACATGGTAAAATTTTGAATTTAGAAACATCCGCAGATGTGTTCATACGGCACTACATCTGGAAACTGGAGATTCCCACCGAGTGTGATGCTTATCTTCATTCGCTTGACAGTGACACATGTCCACCTTAAAAAAAAGCAATAAAAATTATATGAAGTGCAATAATTTGCAAAAAAATGCTTATCTTATTTGTCTCTTCTTATATTTATAATGCAGAGCACTAGATTTGTGTGTCTGTCATACAAAATGACTTTCAATAATACTATTTAAATAAATTTGAAATACAATTTCTTTAATAAATACTCATAGTAATACTAAATTCCTTTTTTGTGATATTTTTCTGACACATATGTGCTGACAGTACATTGTGTACACCGGTCTTACTGACCTGTGTGAAACCACTCTAAGCATGATGCCAAGAAAATTTTGGACTTGTGAGAGGCTGTAAATGACCCCAGATTGATCATAAGGTAACGCTGAAAAGCATTTGACTATATCTCAATCCATTGAGAAGTGGCATCACTTTGAAATCAATTTTGATTGAAAAAATCGAGGCAAAATAGTAATTTTGGGCAATTTTGAGATGTCCCCTCGTTGCCATGGTAACAGAAAATTTAAGTCTGAGCATGTTGTTGCAAGGGCAATGGTCCAGTCAACATTTGTGCCAAGTTTGATTTGTGTTGAAGCAGTTTTTATAGTATTATAGCAATTTGAACTTGTAACGGGAGACTTTTCAATGAAAACAGCCATTTTTCACAAAATGCTCATGAAGTAATGGGTAAAGAAATTTTGCATCTTGATTGGGAAAAATATTTAGTACCATGTACAAAGTTGTTAATCCAACAAATTGTATATCATTCAAAGCATAAAAAATACATAAAAAATTAACAATGGAATGTGTTTTTGAACATCATCTGTCTGGTACCATATTGGATTGAAATGGAATGAAGAAAAATTGTCAGCTTTGATAACGGGAATTTTGACTTATGACTTTTTTCTAAACTTGGAAAAGAAAAAAAGCATATTTGGCATTATTTGCCACTGGGAATGGGTCTGTTAATCTGACCCGTGGTGACACTGGTAAAAATGCATGTTTTCATTAATTTTTTTTGGAAAACAGGTTGGTTTGTGAAATATACATTCAATATTATATAAGTACCTGTTGTTTGTAATAATCTTCTAGTCTTTCTTTAATCTTATACTGTACTTTTTTCTAGCTACATGTACCAGCCTTTCCAAGTGAATATTAAAGTAAATAATCTTTTATTTCCCTGAAAATATCAATTTAGAGATTTCATTTTCAAAATCATCTAATACTACTCTCTTAGTGTGTGTATATACAGAGACATATAAATACATTTTATGTATTTTAACGTCTCTGGTATATACAATGTATATATGTGTCTATACAATGTATATATATGTTTACACTATAATATGATTGTGTACAGCATGTAATGACATAATTAAAATTTGAAAAATTTATGATAATAAAAATATTAATAATATTTCTTCATATTTTACTCCACAGTATTACCACTAAAATAGAAAATGTTCTATCATTTGATTATGATATCTATTTTTTACATGTAGATTTGTGAAAAAAATGTGAATATCAGTAGTGTCAAAAATTGTTAAATCATATAAAATGTCTAATTAACACTGATAAATTACTTCAACCATGTATTGAGAACAGGTATAGATCATTTCCAACAGTATTGCTGTTGTGTTAACATTTTCGCGACATGGTTGTGTGTCTGCCTTGTAATCAAGAGGTCTGGGGTTCAAATCCCTTTAAGTGCCTGAAGATTTTTCAGGTTAACAATTATCAAGGTGGCAGTGATTTTTTTTTTCAACTTTCAAAACATTGAACCTGTGGCTTTATAAATGGGAAACTATAGCTTGATTAATCAGAAAAGAGGAAAAATTTCAACTACTGAAAATGGAATTTACCCATACATTTAAAAAAGTGTAATTCAATTTAAAGGGGTTCCATTGAGGTATTTTGTCATGATGGGGCTGAAATATTTTTTCCAGATAAATGTACCATTTGATGAATGTTTAGAACACTAATCTTTGTACAAACCTTTAGATCATTTGCGCACTTCGTTTTTCTAGAATAATTATTCAAAATGTAAAATGATGACCCAAAATGAAATGGCTAGACTTTAAATAGATATATATAATAATTTATAAAGGTCAAAATAAAATTATTCTGAAATATTCAAGAATGTGCCCCATTTGGTAGAGACGTAACGGCCGTTACAAGACCAAAAAATTGTAGGCGTATATGCCGGTTTTCCTGTAAAGGCAGACATCTATGTAATATCAATTTGTAAAATCTGTCGGTTTTGCAGTCTAAGTATGATCGAAATGTCTTGGGTACGAAAGACTCGAGATCTCCAAATTACTTCGAAATTATTTACGAAAGTTTTAGTCCTCGGAAACAAATTGGCATCAATAAATAAACTTAATATTATTAGTCATCAAATTCATAACATATTTTGCTTTATAACATACCTTATGAGCTTAACAGGCTGATAATTATGCTCGTGAAGATGAAGTAGGTCGAAAAATTTACCGGAAGTTGTCGGATTCATTTAACCTAATTATCGGCTAATTCAGAGACGAATAGATTATCTACATCTCTGGCTAATTCTATTTCAATATCCACTTTGCAATTATAAACTACAAAATTTATCCGATAAATAATGTCTTTTTCAAAAATTCTGGAATATAATACAAAAAAATGTGATGATAAGGCGGATGAGTAAGTTAAATATTGCAAGCCGTCAAGCACTATGACCCAATTAATTTACTATCCCATTCGTAGAATTATGTGACCTTTCAAATTATATCCGCTACGTTTCTAAAACCGTAATTCAAGCTCAATTGCACATTATTTTCAAAAAATAAATTACTTGTCTCCACTTCTGTTCGCAATAAATCGAAGTTTTCAGAAATTCAGAGCACTATTTTTCACTCGCGGCGGTTATGCGTCGGTCATGGTCGGGTGATCACTATGAATTCAGCTTACTTTGATATGTTAGAATACAATATAGCATATAGAGTGGCGATGAAACGTCACAGCAGTGGGCGTTACCCTGTATGGTTGGAAATTTCGGGTTTGTAAGTGCACTAGTTGGGACTACGTCCCAACTAAAAATGAACAACTCGAAGTTACGACAAAAATTGTGAAACAAAGTTATACCTCAGAATCATTGATCATAACATAATTACGTGAAAATGGCCCAATTAGAATATTTAGAAAAAAGTGTTTAAAGGTGAAAAGGTAAAAATAAAATTAATTTTAAATGACATTTAACCATGAATTGCAATCAGTTATCATCGAGTTTTAAATCAAAAAGTATCTTTATTTTTTATTTTGTGCCAAACACATTCATTTTGTTATCATATCTACCAACAAAGACTTCATCATGGTGGGCACTGTAGCATATTGACCTGGGATACTTTACACCTTTACACATTATATTTCCTTGTTTCAATTTTCCGTTGACTTTATGAATTGTTCCATTATCAAAACTGCAGATAAGAAATGACCCGTCATCTAACATCAGCATTCCCAAGGGTCCTCTAAGATCTGTATGTTTATATGTAGCTGTAACTTCCCCTTGTAATGCTACACTCACTACACTGTTGTTACCAAAATCACTGATATACAGAAGTTTGGAATCCTTGCTCACAGCAATATACGGGACATAGCCTGACAGAAAGGTCAAAGGGATGTTATTCAGGATATCACCTTGTGTATTCAGTACAATCACACTAGAAGGAGACAAACATGCAACATAAAAACAATCCTGATTATAGTCTATACCATAGCATGTCCTATTCACTTTAATACTGCGGACACATGATAACTTGTCATATGTTGTAATAACAACTATTTCTTGGTTGAACGGCATTGTTACTGCGAACTGATCCTGAGACATAACAACAATATCAAATGGATTTGAGTCAAGAGCTTTCTCTTCTTGTACACGTCTGTTCTCTATAGATACCAATTTTATCTTATCGTTGAAGTTATCAGCTTGAACTAGTTTATTTGTGTTAAGAACTGCACATCCTGTAATACAACATTCCGTTTTATCTGATGAAGTTTTAACGTTGATTTCTTCTTTCCGAATCAGACGATCAACAGATTTCATCTTATTTGGCGGTTCATAACAAGAATGACTGACAATCTCACCAAAGACCCTTGTTTTCGATAACAATGATTCAAGGTCAGAATTCCGCTCAAATGAGTAGTGCATATTAGTATTTATCAAAGATTTTTCTGCATCATTTAATTCATTTGATTTCAGTGAAGACTCAGCCCGTTTCATGTCAATGAAGAGTTGACTATTCTGATGATTTGATTTGTTTACATTAAGTTTTGATTGCAGACTTTTTATATCAGAAATCATACTTGCACATTCTTCAAGGACCTTCTGAACGATTTTAATATTCTTTGTCTTTATACCTTCAGCTGTTGTTGAAACATATTGTTGCATCTGATCAAGGCGGTCATTTATTTCTTTTCGGAATTCTGTTATTGCTTTGATTATTTCTTTATTGCATTCATTTATATCATTACTTCTTTCTTTAGCCATTTGAGAGATTTTTTCTGCTTCTTTAAGTTTTCCGCTGAGTTTTTGCATGACGTTATCGAATTCCTTGCCATCTGCAATGCCTCTGCATTTATCAGGTATGTACTCAATTTTACACGTTCGGTGGCGTAAAGTCATGCAATCATTGCACCCGAGCTCTTTGTGGGAGAGGCAATAAAATTTTATAACTTCTTTTTTATGAGCTGAACATAATTCTGTACATTCGTTGTATGATTGCTGCTTTGTATGGGACTTATCTAATTCATCTTTACTTAGTATATTGTGAGTCTTAGACATTTTTTGCCTTTTTGTGACAATCTAGGCAGGTACTACAAAAGGTATTCCTGACATATGCCACAAAATCCGTGAGCTTCTATACGTTGACCTGTGGTAAGGCACGGCTCACAACAGTGATCAAAGTCTTCTTCTGATCCTGCTGCTAATGATCTTAGCAAGTCTACTTGTTTACGTCCTGATACGGCCATTTCTATAAAACAACACAAACATGTATTAAACATTGGGTTTAAATTATGTCTGTTTCTAGTTAAAAGTAATTAGAAGAATTTATTCGTAATGTAACTAACTTTTATAGTGAAGCAATTCCAAAATAATTTATATATTTAGCCCATTTGCCACAGTAAATGTGTTATGATACTGCAAGTTTATTGTACAAAACATAATTACAAACACTAAGTTAGATATATACACAGTAAGTGAAATAGATGTGTCGCTGACACAATTTAACTTGACGACTGAGTTCTAAATCTATATTTTTTTGCAAAATCGATTTTTATATTAAAAACCGCTAAAAGGATTCTGATCTATAGGATCTGATGGATATTTTGATAACAGTATTGTTTCTATATTGCTTTATGTGAAATATTTCAAAAACATTTAAACATTCATATAAGTAACTCATAATGTTTCTATTTTATTGAAAAAGTCACAAGACATAAACACTTAGTACTCATGGTGAATTTGGAATAATACGAAACAAAATTTCTTGAAGATATCATTTAATTCTTGATATTAAAGGCCCATCATGCCTCAGACATGTTATTTTTGTCGAAAAATTTATTTTTGGTATCTTCTTAAAGTTACAAAGAAAAACTCATTTGCCGTATCAATGAACTATCTTTGATATTTTTTGTACTCTCGCGGCACTGCATATTCTTTCGCGCACTACATGTATTCTCGTGACACTGCATGTACATTGGGAAAATTTCTTTTAAAATACTTTATTTTCCCCGCGGGATTTCAAAATTTTTTAAAAACAAACCAGGGTTAATTTTCTGGCTAAAAACCAAAATTTCCCAAAGGGCAAAAATTAAAGGGGAAAAAAACTCGCAGCACTGCATGTACACTGGGCAGCACTGCAAATACGCTCGCAACATTTGCATGCACTCTCTTAGCACTGCATTGTACCCCTCGCGGTTATGCATGTACACTCGCAGCGTCCCCAGAAATTTGCGGGGGAACAACATGACCCCCTCGCGGCCATGCTTTGGTTTTAACCCCCGCGTATTTGTAGTACATCGTAGCTTTTTTGCATATTCTTTTGGGCGGCACAAACCATGAAACTCTCCCGCATTCGTCTTGTTTTCCCAAAAGTATATTCGTTTACGTGCGCCTACACACATGTTTTACCCCAAAACGGGACTGCAGGAACCCTCTTTTGGCCCCCTTTGTGTAAATTCCCCCGGAAAAAAAGGGTATTGCTGCCACATTTTCCAGGGAAATGCCTGAAAAATCGCCCAAATTTGCTTTTTTTAAAAGGGAAAAAAACCCCAATATTTGATTTTAACATTTCCCGACATTTGAAAAACAGTTAAATTTAAAAAATTTTACACCACCCTGTAAAAGTTTGTTTTTATGTTTTTTTGATAAACCCAAGAAATCACCTTTTTTTTTAAATTTTTCCCCAATTTTAAAAATTTTTAAAAAAAAATTTTTAAAAAATATAAACCCAAATAAATAAATTTTTAAAACTGCCAAACGACAAAAAAATATTTTTTCAAATTATTTTTAATATTTTTTAAAATGATTTTTCCCCATACGATTAATTTTTAAAAAGGGTTTTAAAAAAAAAAAAAAAAAAAAAAAAAATTTTTTTCCAAAAAAAAAAAAAAAATATTAAAAAAAAAGGAAAGGTAACATTTTTGATTTATTTTTTTTTTTGAGCCCGTCGCCTGAGGTAAAAACTTTTTTTAAAATATTTTGGGGGCTTCATTTTTAAAGAAAAAAAAAAAACATATCTGATTCTTTGAAACCTTATTTTTGGAACCCTTATAAATTTTGCTAATTTTTTTGTTAAAAAAAAAAATTTGGGAAAAAAAAAGGAATTTTCAAAACATACCCAAATAAAACTATATAAAAAAAATTTCAAAAAGAAAAATTTAAAAACGAGTTAAAAAAAAACATTAAAAACAAATATTTTTAAACCTACCCCCAAAAATTTCCCCTTTAATGGTAGTTACAAAGCCCAGGGGTTTAAAAAATAAAATCCGGAAACCTGAAATCTTTTTTAAAAAAAGTTAAAATCTAATTAACTTACTTTCAAAGGATAACGTTTCTAAAAAATAACGGCTTATTTTTTTCTCAATTGTTAAAATTTTAAATTTTGGGGACAAGATTTTAAACTACTTTGCCCCTTTTTGCCCAAAAAAATTTCATGGGGAACATTGAAAAGAAAAAATTTAAATTTGTAAAAGCAAAATTAAAATTTTGCAAATGAAAAAATTTTGAAATTATCTATAGCCCTTCCCCAAACCCAATTTTTATATAACAAAACAGCAAGTCATTTTTCATGATTTTTTTCCCAATACGGGGTTTTTAAAAATTTAATTTAATAGTTTTCCTTTTAACATGTTACATCTTTACACTTTAACATGTCAAATGGGGTTGACGTTTTTTTTTTAAAGAAAAACAATTTTTCCCAAGAAAACTTTTCAAAATTTTTACTTTTTATAAAATTAAACCCAATCCCTTTTTAATTAAACCCAAAACTTTTTAAAAAAAGGGATTAAAAAATTTTCTTTTTTCACGCAAAAAGCGAAATAAGGGTTTTACCGGAAAAATTAAAATTTTTTTAAAATTTATTAAATTTTTCGGTTTCCCAAATTTTTTTTAAAAAGGGTTTTTAAAAAACGTTCTAAAAAAGCTCGGGGAAAATCACATTTATTTTTCTCCCCTTTTTTTTTTACCCAGCAAAAACTTTTATTTTTTTTAATATAAAAAAATTTTTTTCGCATTAAATCTTTTAAAAAAAATTAAAGGGGCCCAAAAGCTTTTAAAATTATATTTTTCGTTGGTTTCGGTTCTTTTACCCAAAATTAAAAACGGTTTTTTTTTCCAAAATTTTTTAAAATTTCCAAAATTCATTCAAATTTTAATTTTAAAAATTATTTATTTAAACCCCACTCAAAACAAAAAAATTTTAAAAATTTTCAACTTTTACACGTCCAAAAAGGGAAATATAGGGTTTGGGGAACTAATTCCGGGTGGTTAATTATTTTTTTATGTCTCGGGTGTTTTTTCCATTCGGTTTCGGGAAATTAAAATTTGGCAAAAAATTCTTTTTTTTGGGAAATTTAAAAGGTTTTGAAAAAAAAAAATTTTGGAAAAGGGTTAAAAATTAATCAAAAAAAACAACTTTTTATTCTTGAAAAAATATTTCCCACCCGTAAAAGAGAACTGGAAAAAATTTTTTGGTTTTCGAAAAAACAAAAATTAAAACGGGAAAAGGCCCCCAAAAAAAAACCCCAAAAAAAACAATTTTTTGGCCAATTTTTTGAATTTTTGGAAAAAATCATCCATTCAATATCGGGACGAAAGGTAAAAAATTGGGATGGCCCAATTCCCTAACATGTGTCATTCCTTAGGGGCTTGTTAAAAAAAGGATTTTGGGTTGTTTTTTTTGGGGCAAAACAAAAAATGCGTTTTTATTAGGGGGGCTCAAGGCCCAAAAGGAATTTCTTGATTTGTAAAAAAAAATATTTTATTTTAAAAAATTCTTTCAAAAGGGGAAGTACTAAAGTTCCCAAAAATTTAAAACTCACCAAACCTTTTTTATAAATTTTTAATAAAATTTTTCCAACCGTTAAAAACTGGAATTTCAAATTGTTTTCTAAAGGTAACCCATTTTCCTTAATAAATCAAACCCACGGGGGGCTTTTTTTTTTAAACAGTTAAGAAAAAAAATAAAAAAGAAGGTAAGGAATTAAATTTTAAATGAAAAAAGTTTAATTTACCTTTTTGGGGGGTTTAGTAAGTTTTAAAAAGTGCTCAGTTTAAAAACTTTTTCAATTTTTTTAATTTTTAAAGTAAAAATTTCCCCCCAAATTAAAAATATTAATTTTAATAAAAAAAAATCCTTTTTCAAAAATTTTAAAACCGAAACCAAAATTTATGCCCCCTTCATTGTTTTGCCCAAAAAGGGATTTAACCCTTTCCTTTTCTTTGGAAAAAATTTTTCTTTTAAATTTAGCATTTTATAAATTTTAAACTAAAGGGCCTTTGAAAGGGTTTTAATTTTTTTTTGCGGTTTCGTATTTTATTTTCCCCGGGTTAAAACCTTTTTCTTTAAGGGGTTTATAAAAATAGAATTCGAACAAAAATTTAAAACCCCGCGGGGGAAATTTAAAAAAAAATTAACAGAAGGGGGGTAATCAATAAATTTTCCCAAACAATTTTTTTCCAAAAATATTTGAAATAAAACAAACTTTTTTTTGGGGTAAAAAAACAAAAACATTTTTTTAATTTTAATTTTTTTTAAAAAAAAATTTTTTTGGCCTTTTTTGGAAAACCTTACGTTTGTTTTCCCCAAAAAGGGGAAAAGGGGGGGTTTTTTGGGTTTCCCTTTGTATTTTAAACCCGGTCATTTTATTTTGCCCCTTAACTTCCATTTTACTTAATTTCCCTTTTTTGGGAAAAATATTTTTGGAAACCTTTTTCAAAACCCAGCCAAAAACCCCAAAAAATTCCCCAAAACAAACTATCGTAAATCAACCGAACTCAACTTTTAATGAAAAAACCCCCATTTTATTTATTTGGGAAACCCGGGGTTATAAAAGAATAAAAAAACAACAACCTATTTTTAAACTTTTAAAAGTTTTTAACCCCCTTTTTCTTGTTTTTTTTGGGGTTTTAAGCCCTTTTTTTACAAACGCAGTCCGGTTGCTATGAAAATCAAACCGGAAATTTAAAAATTTTTGTCGCTCATCGCCATCTGCGTAGGGAAAGAAGGGTTTCGCCCTACATTTAAAATTTTTAAATTAAAAAGTCTTTAAGAAAATTCC